ATTGTATACTAATGAAGGAATTTTTTTTCTCTTTGGAGGGGGAAGCGAGCTGGTGGGGAAGGGTGGGCAGGGAGAAAAGTGCGGCAATGAATGAATGAAAATCCAAAACCTCTGTAAATGTCTATTAAAATTAATAATGATAATAATAATAAAAAAACCAACAAAAACCAAAAAAAAACAAGAGACAGTTTTGTCTTAGTCAGAGCTGCTGACTTGTGTGTGTCATCCTTGCTGACATACCTGACTTTCTTCCTGCTAGAGTGGTGAACCTCACAGCTCCCATCCTTCTACTGACATAATCCATATAAAAATATTCTGTAATTGCAATTTAAAGGAACGTTTATATAAATGTAAATGTGTTTTAGTAATATTAAGTGTTTGAACACAACTAAACCTATAAAGTATATAAATGAGTGCACTTTTGCCTAGATGAGCAGTAGAAATATGGATGAATACATGTGTGGTGTGGGTAGAATCAGTTAGGTGATCGTCCAAAATAGTGAAAATCTAATGGTGAAATTCCAAACTAAAAGAAGTTAAACATTACCGTGGTGTATGCAGTGAGTCTTTTTCTGCAAGACAGTACAAAATAAATTTTTTAATAATAAAATAGAATTGGGCTCTAGGAGGTGTACCTGATCCAAGCCATAGTCTTTTCAGTAACTCGCTCTGATCTGAGAGTTGGACAGTGGATAAAGATGATGGAAGAAGACTGGATGCCTTTGAGTTGTGATACTGGAGAAGAGCACTAAATATTCTTTGGACTGCCAGGAGGATGAACAAATATGACTTGGAGAGAGTGCAGCTAGGGTGCTTGTTAGAGGGAAGGATGTTGAAACGTCATCTCACAGACTTTGGGCATATTGTTAGAAGGGGCTAGTCCTTGGAGAACAACATGCTCGGAAAAGTGGAGGGTCAGTGAAGAAGGGCAAGACCTTCAGCCAGTAGGTTTGGCACAGTGACTTTAACAATGGCTGTAGGGATAGTGAGCTCTAGTGTGACAGAGATGATGAGGATGGTACAGGATAGAGCAGGTGAACCATCAGAAAGGATGGTTCCTGGGTCGTTAGGAGTTGTACTCAGTGGCATCTAACAGCAACAACAAAACAACATGTGAATTTTGCATATGGAACATACCATCAGTTACTCATGTGCAAGTTCAAAATGAAGTTGAAAAAAAAATGGAAATAAGTCCACGAGAACTTATGTATGACCTTGAGTCTATCTCACCTGAATTATAAACTATCTTAAGACTGGGTTTGATGTATTAAACACTAATGGTCAAAGATCATAAGTTGTGAGATGACAGCAAGGACATTATCCATGAGGAAAGCAAAAGATAATAACAAAGAAAGAAAAAAACCAAAATAGTCAGAAGGGACTCTGAAACTTGTATTAATGAAAGAACTGAACAAATTCAAGACTCAAGTTATAATACTGAAGGATTCTATGAGCAAATTCCTGATTGTACAGGTATCATCAAAAGAAGATGGAAAGACTGTGCAAAGGCACTGTACCAAAAAGACTTGGCTGACATGGAACCATTTCAGGAAATAATTATTTCAGTTAAGCACTGTGGTGGCAGGGCCTAGCTGTAATAAAGAAGACATGTTTCAGACAATACTCATGTATTGGGCAAAAAACCTCAAGGACTATATTTGTGACTAATTGCTTAACAGGTTCTTTTAGTTTCTGTTCTGTGAAAAGTGTAAAGCATTCTGACAGCAAAAGGTTTTTAAGTAGATACAGTTTTTGGCCCTGTTGATTGATAAATGTAATAGTCTGATCATGATGCTAAATAAGTGTTCTTTTTTTTAAAAAAAAAAAACAAAAACAACAAAAACCTAAACATACAATCAAGAACCAGTGGTAGTTTGAGGACAGTTTTCACTCCATTTCACTCCAAATGCCCCACTGGAGAAGGAGGAGCTATCTCCTTCTGTGCCAGTTGGATCTGACACGATAGTACACAACGAGGAAGAAAAGAAAAAAGAGCCATAAACTGCATTGAAACAGATGAGGGAGAGAACATTTTAAAAGCTGTATGTGATTGGGTATTATGGTTGTGACAAGAGTCCAGAATGAAGGTTGCATAGTTGGGGGATTGTATACCAATGAAAGAATTTTTCTTTTACTTTTCAAAGAGAAGAGTGGGCAGGGAGAAAAATGCAACAATGAATGAATGGAAATCCAAAATCTCTGTAAACATTAATTAAAATTAATAAAAGTTTTTTTTAAGTAAAAAAAGAGTGATAATGAAAAAGGAACTTCAAGGTGCACTGAAGGCATTAGTGAAAACTAGGCTTTAGAAATTGATGGAATACTAATTGAAGTGTTTCAATAAAAAGATACAGCCCTGGATGTGTGCCAACCAGTCTATGCCAAAACATTTGGAATACAGCTACCTGGCAAACTGACTGGGAGAGATCCATATTT